CAACCTTGTTATTGCATCTACTCCAACATCTGCTTCATTTCTACAGTGGATAAGTTTAGGGTGTAGTTGTTCAACATCTTTTACTAAAGGTTCAATTGCATCATTTCAAAAGTTTCAAAATCGGCTGCAGTAAAAGTGGAACTTTAAATACAAAGACGACTGAATTTGTGGAAAGAGGCCGATTAGAATGAGACTCCTTTTCATGGTATTTTCTCTTAGGCAAAGATACTGACAAAATGTGCTCCCTCACAGAGCCCCCTGCCTTTGGATATGAAGGTGTCCCCTGTTGATAGAGTCTCACTGTGGGTTTCAAACACACGGAGCGTGAAACCCGTGGTCTTGGTGGCACGCGACTGAAAGACTTTGTACAGATTAATTCACACCACTGTACTGCCGAGATATTGGAGAAATTTTATCTTCCGCCTTCCGTAGGAGATCTTGCACTTCGCCGATATCTGTGCGGGTCCTGGTGGGTTTTCAGAGTACCTAACGTGGCGTCGTGGCCATCCCCTTAACTCTACCTCTTCGCCGCATTACTTTCCACGCATTCGTGGGTACGGCATGACTCTCGTCGGCCCTTGTGACTTCAAAATGGACAAATTTATCGCAGGACCCGCTGAGACTTTTCATCCCTTTTATGGATCTGCAAAGGATGGCGATATTACTAAATGGGAAAATTTGGCTTCCTTTGCTCAGTTCGTTGCTCACAACACAGGTGACAAGGGTGTTCATGTGGTCATGGCTGATGGGGTAGGTGACTTCTTGTTTTGTAGAAAAGGAACCTTTCACTGAATTTATTTTTTTGTTCTGGTCTTTTTATTTGATTACACTGTCACGAACATTGCGACATGTTTTGTCTGGGTCTATGGTATCCATAGCTACTCCGAGTCACGCCGTATTCGCTTTGCTTGGATAGACGCGTAATGGCTTTCGGAAGCTGATTGTGATATCCTCCGTGCTGAATAATTGTAAATTGCTGTGTTAGAATAACAAAGCATAGGGACTGTGCTGTCTAGCTTCTGTTAAAATGCTAGACCCATGTAAATGCCTCACCCTCATCCTACATTCACCAACGTAATGATGTATTGCCTTCCACTTTACTTCATTAATCTATGAATTGCCTCATTGAACTGAATGATTATGAACCGTATAAGGCACAAAGACTATCGCTCTCAACTTTTGAAAGATGGTCGATTAAACTCGCCATGTTTTCTAAAGGGCTTCAAATTCTTAATTTTTAGGGCTTTGACGTTTCCGACTGTTATAACCTACAGGAAGTGAAATCAAAGCACATCTACCTCTGCCAATGTCTTTGCGCTCTTACTCTTCTACGACCCGGTGGGTTTAGTCTTCATTGCTCTTTCAGCGCTTTCCTTTTCATTTTTTCCCAAATCCCTTACCTTTCCTTCATTTGCAAACGCATTGACTCATGTTTGTTGTTCCTTCTTGCCATTTGCACCCCATATTGTCCAAATCTGATTGCTCAAGCCAACGGGAAATATTTTAAATTTTGTTCCCATCCATTTATCACGATATCAAGGGATAAAATCATGAGCCCCAAATGAAGTAGAAGATTACTGGGACACAGAAATTTGGTTTGGAGACTTCCATTGCGCTCATTTTGTTCTACTCGGATTATTTTTAGGCGGCTGTTTCATCACCAAGCTGTTCGACATCTTCACCGATTTCAGTGTGGACTTGATCTGGCTTATGAGTCATGTTTTCAAAAGTATCAGCCTCATCAAACCTATCTCTAGTCGACCTGCCAATTCGGAGCGGTAAGTTGCCTCGTTCTAAGATACACTTTCACTTCCCTCTTACTTTTTAGATATCTTCTTTGTGAGGGTCTCATTACCTCCAATTCTTGCATGGCTGGATGTCCAAAACCTCCTTCCTCCTGTTCAAGCACCTGCAATAATAACATCAGTTCGAAGTCACAGCCTCCCAAACCTTCTTTCAAAAAGTCTGTGTCAGCCAAACGTGCCAATGCCGTAATGCGCAGTGGCGGTACTGGTGATTTCAGTGGCAGCTCTCTCCAAGTCGACACGGTTTCGGCTGTGGGACTGCTAATTAAGCACTTCCTTGAGGTCAATGAGGGTCTGCATAGACGAAAAATGGTCAAAGAGAAGGAGGGAGAGACCGCATCGGTTTTAGACATTCTTCGTTTGGCCCGCTATGAAGAACAGAATGGCGCAAGCGAAGAATTTTCTGCCTTCATTACTCACGCGAATGATGAGTAAGCGGATTTGTAGTACCTTTTCTTTAGTATTATCCCACAACTTCTTTGGATGAACACTGTCAGTCAATTGTTTGCATGAGGTCAGGCACTTAAGGAGATGCTGTCTTGGACTGGTCACTCAAGCACATCATTCTGACCTGCAGTTCTTTGACTTGATGTATCGAGGACTGCTAGTAGTTATGCTTCTTGTAAACTCATGCACGAAAGCTGGATCTGAGAATTTTACCTCAAAGCTTTATGAAAGGACCACCCGCTGGTCCGCAGCATTACATCCTCGGCCTCGGACCACTTGATCAATGCTTATTTAGTTGTTTGTCAACCTCCACATAAGTTGGCCTTTCTTGCTGTAATAGGAGCAGTTTTGAGCATTGAGAGAGTATTGGGTATGTTTACGGTCTAAAAGCTTGTACTCGTTGTGCATTTTGTTGTTGAGGCTGTTTCAGGATGGGTTAGGCCTAGGGGGTTTTTTTTCTTTTCTAAAGCCTTCCAACAGGAAGTCAAGGCTCACAATTGGTGCTTTCTCTCATCTCCTTGGTCTTGCTCTTTTGTAAATCACATTTCAAATCTGAGTTGAGCTATCATTTGTAGACTTGACTACGCGAGATACTGTTGATTGCGATCGTGTTCCATCAAATTCAAGTGCTTCTCCTCAACTCTTGAAGCAGCTGTTCTGAAATTGTGTTTGATTGGTTAGGGTTCGTGAAGTTGCATCACGTTTTGGTACTGATTTCAAATTTTCATTGTTATGCTTTTGTGAGAAGGTGTAAGAGAGTTGAGGGTTATGGTTGATTTGATTTCATTTCCCACCATTTCTCTTTCGCTTTCACTTTGCAGCTTAGCTTGTTCATTCTGAACACGTTAATTCGAATATTCTTCTTACATCAGCATCGAGTGGTTAAGTCGTGCTTAGAGGTGAATCGATTAAAATCGTTTTGTTTTGCTTGTTGTCTCAAAACCTACTTTCGTGCATTGATCCCTTGGCTTTCCACATCGAATTTGAAGCATAAAGGTACAGCTATAGATTTCTGGTCAACTCTTCCACCCCTTAAACTACCTTAAGGATTGCGAATCCATTTCCGTATGCCAACATAAACTTTATGCATTCTGTCTGTCACTGCTTCTATGGTTTTATGCAACTTAAATGTCTACCACTTCAGTAATCTTACAGAGGCTTTTGTTCATGTGTCAGTAATTCGTCTTAGCTAGATTTGAGCGGCTACATTGCTCAGTTGGTAGTTGTAAGTAGTGTGTGGATAAGTGCTTTTATTTTTCCATTCTAGGCTCGCGGCTCACCAATGTCTTTACCTCTCAAAAATGATCATCTTCGCTGATGATGGAGCAAAAGAGGACGACTCTCGAGACGACCTCAAGGTCGCCTGTTGGAAAAAGTGGCAGGTGGATGAGCTGTCTTTTACTTTTTAAGGGATTCGTTGAAACAATTGTCATTTTGGGGTTCCTCACGAGTGAAATCAAGTGGAGTTAAATCTCGATCCACCTCCCTTTGAATGAGGTCAAAATGAACCGATATAAGAAAGGAGAGGCAGATTATTTAGTCTCAGCTTTCCTATAGTTCCTTCGCCTTTCTTCGTTTACTTTAGAGGTTTTCTATCAGCTGAATGTCTACAGGACTTGTCATTTATCACACCAATCTATTTGAGTATCATTGTTGAGCGACTACAATTGACGACTTGACGTAGTTCGTGACTTTTTCAACTACTCTCATTCCAGAGTAGTAGCGATAAGGACGGCTGGCTTGTCGAAGTGGTCAGGAGAAAATATTCACTGCTCCTATTCGGATTTTTGCCACTATTTTCGTTTCGGATATGCGATTGAAAACATTCAATTGGGATTGTTTGTGGTACCTTTTCCACCCCTTAATTTCAGATACCTGAAGTTGCTCGAGAACTCTGCGCGTGGCCGCTGTGGTCCAGTAACATTCCTCCAGTTCTGAGGAGCTTCATACATGTGGGCCTTTAATAAATTGACAAAAAAGTGATAAGAGATCTCTATTGTGGTTGCATACCTATTTTTAATCGGTCTTCACTGATTTTATGTTCTGCTCCTATCATACAAGCAAGGCGAGTAATTCCCTAGATTTGCAAGTTTGAAAGAGCATAAACCTTTCACTCCATGCTTATTTTAGGACTTTTTGTCAAAAGTTAGATGACATGACATAGCAATTTTGTTCTCCTCATCCTCATTCTATACGCTTTAGTCTTAGGAGGAACTTAGCAACCACTAACAACTATCATCTGCTCTGCATTATGTCTATGGCCGTGCTTTTACAGGATTCAGGCAAGGGCATAGTTCACAACAACTTGCCCGCAAATTTATGTCGTCCAACGAATATAAACGTGCTCACCAAGGGCGACCTTTCTCGCCCCCTCTTCTCTCCTCACGCTCTCTACGCTGTGGTTTTGGGCGAACTCTTTCAAAATTCCAATAATCTACCTAAACAGCCGGTTATGGTCATATCCCTGGGTGGAGGTTCTGCAGTTAGTTTAAATTGTTATAACACCTTTTTAGGTATCAAAATACTGTTCTTCTTCTAATTTTCTTCCTGTTTTATTTTTCTTGGTAGGATAAAGGAAGGCTTAAGTACAGCTGCGATGGTAAAACGTGGAATGACTTCTTATGGGTTGAGAAGATTCATCCTCGTCTACCCGCTGGGAGCCTGGTCTGGGCCCTCACTATCAACATCTATTCCTCGGTATTTTTCATTAATAATATTGTTTCCTTAATGGACAAGCTAATTTTTGTTGCATTCCGAATAAAAGCATAGGATTTCGTAGATTCTCCACTTTTCTTGCTCTTTTTCGCTCAGAATGGGCGCCGTAAACACGCCTTGATGTTACTCGACGCGGCCTTCATCTATGGCATTGACTTGCAATCTTTGTCTTACGAAGAAAGGTACGCTGATTAGGCGTCTTCTGCCTCCCGCCAGAATTGTGGTGACTTCCGATTTTGGGTGTTTTTAGGATGCGACACGTTTATGACCTCTGCCATATCGTGGATTTCGTGAGGGAGGATTCTGCAAAAATAATTTCTCCGCCTCTTTTGCCTCTAACCGAACTACGAACCTTCATGCAGCAGTGAGGATGTGCATTTTTTTATCATTGAAAGTTAACTTAGAGATCGACTGAACAGCCTGCTATATTGGATATAATGGGACTCTCCTTTTAAGCTCTGGTAATATGATTCCTACTTGGTTCAACTTCATTTGACTTCTAGTTTAGCTTAAAATACTTTGCCGTTCGTCATTTTTCGTTTTTATTTTGCACAAAACGTACTTGGTAAAAGATTTGATGAAAAAGAGTCTCCGAATCACAAGCGTCGACAACTTCGGTGACGAAACAGCCTTAACTTTTCCCATTACACTTGTTTGAAGGACCCCTGTGAAAGTGTTTATTCATGAACTTAAGTCTTATCCTCCAACCCTCCCAATTATCGTCTCCAGTTGCTAGGTGATTATTGTTTTTTTCTCGACCTTGCGCGGCCCTTTCCCCCCACCTCCCCCCCAAATTATTGTACAATTTAGACCTCAATTGTTCTTTGTCGTATCTCAGTAACTCTTCCCTTTTAAGCTAGGTTATGTAACTGTCGCCCTATAGGAATACGTGGGGTCTTATGTTGTCCTCATTTCTCCTCTCTTTTGCAGAAGGTTAAAGCTTCTTCCCTGCAAGGATGCTCCGGATAAGGTGAACATGTTTGTCACAACCACTGATGGATACACCTGTGCACCAAAAGGCCTCCTTCTTGTTAAGCATTTGGAAAGTAAGTAGGTAAATTTTTTTCATATCGTTTTAATAGAGTAAGTAGCTGAATTTAATGGGTCAAGTCGATCATGATGTTCAAAAATTGCATCTCTGTTGGCGAAATTCCACCCACTGTAATTGCTCAGTCGCATCATTAAGTTGCTTCGGCCAGCTGCTGACATTGTATACCTACTCCTTCTTTGCGTATTCATTTTGTTGGCTAAAACAGCTAGATTAAGAAAGGCGTAAACATTCCTGTTCCGATACTCAGCCTTCAGACTTCTGTCAAGGAAAAATGCATCAATCCTACCACGCGTCTACCTTTTTTAGCTGTTCATTTGGATTTAAACCGTTTGGGTCAGTAGCATTGCTAGTTAATACACGGCTTTTCGATCAGTGGAAGCATTTAATGCTCTTCGCTGCTAATCGCGTGGTTTGGAATCAAATCCTCCCTTTTTGCAAAGCGCAACTTCTCAAACTGTTGACTAACTGTCGCCAGTCGAATGTTTCGGTTATATCTTTGTCGGTGTTTAAACGTGTTTATCGTTTAACTCCTCACTAGTTCTTCAGACTTGTCTGATTGGCTTGGCCTTGATCATCATTATGAAATCTTGTATTAATATTCCTGCTCCAGTGTGTCATTTATTCCAACACTCCTGTGCCTGTCTTTTCCTAACAGGTCCTTGGGTCATGCGTCGAAGTCGTGGTACTGGAAAGCTCTATTACTTTAACGACCAGACTCACGAATCTGAATATGTCGCTCCACCCGGTGTCGAATTGCCTTTCGGGTGAGCATAACTTCTAACTCTTCTAAGTATTCCAACTTCTTTCACTTCGTTCTGCCTACAGAGCGCCCATTAAGTCTGCACAACCAAATGTGAGACATCCAATATAGCCTGTTAACCGCCATGGTGTGGGTGAGCTGAAATGCTGCTTTGATCTCGGAACTCATTTTAATTTCATGGAACAGGTTTTTAATGCTATTCAGCTGTGGACATAATGAAGGCTAAAATGGTCGATCCAATTTACTGTTACTGGATGGGTGGTAACATCCTCTCCGTTTTTGGTGCATCGGCTAGCGCTTTCCACTCAGTTAAACCTACCTACTTGTGATATTGGATCAGCATAATAGATGGGAGGTTGGCTTTTTTGCTACCAAGCCAAAAGTTTTTTTTGCTGGCATTGTAGGCAGGTCTGGAGGGACTGCTTGTATTTTCAATATTCATGGTCACACGCATTGATACAATCAATTTGGTACTTATAAATTTGTTTCTCAATCGCACCACTGTCTGGCATCTTAACTAACACTAAAGATTAGTTCACATTGGCGTGCGTTGACCGTTAGTAACATTGCCACATAGTAAAGTTCTTTTTCTCTCTGAAAGGTCAAATTCCTAGTTCGATTTGATTGTCTTGACATTGATCGCTTCCGCATTGTTTGCGCTTCTGAAGTAGATAGGAGGAGCACTTTTTTTCTTCCAGTTGATATGCCAGTTCGTCTGACCTTTTGTGCTCTGCTGCCTTGTCTTCTAGAAAAACGCTTTTCTTCCGTGTTCCGTGGCAGGCCGAACACGAGGGCGAGCTTGATGTGCACTATCTGACTGAACATTGCCATCAATTGCATCAATGACGACTTCTGTGTACTTTTTTCATGCAACATTGTTTAAAAATAGAATGAATAGCTAGGGCTCCTTTTGGCTGACTTACTTCCCTAATCCGATTGTGAGCTCTTTTTACCCCACAACTACCATTTTTGCACGTGGGAGGGAAGAACCTACTAAAACATGGAAATTAGATCATGAATTTGCCAGTGGTTGTGTTTTGTTGTGTGATTTTTGACGACCAATTGGTGTTTAATGTTGGTGGCTTGAAGTTAAGATGTGAGGTTGCAGGATTTGCCAAGTTTCTCGAAAATGTATTTTCCTATCACTAATAACAGCTCAAAACTCAAATGTATCCATTTCAACAGCTGTGAAGTTAACCCTATTTTTGACAAGACTTGTGCTGACTCGTTTTTCGGGAGTCTTAAAGGTTTGATTCTTCTGCCTCATTCATCAGCAATTAGCATGCCAAGTATCAGCCGTGGGTTTTGGATCACGTCCAGCAAACTTCCCCACAGAATTGTTCACTGTCTCTAATTTCCAATACAAATGTTCTTTTCGCCATCATTTTCACCGAACTCTCATGGGTTTGACCTATTGGACGAAAGTGAATGGTTTGCCTTTGACCTTGACGGGATGATGGCTCCTTTGAAAAAATTGTTTCATTCTGAATGACGATCACCAACCAGTTAGTGGACCATGATGTCATCGAGTGGGCCAATCATTCAGGCAGTTCTTGGAGTCTTTGATGTTGTCATCCGAAGGGATTTGCTCGATCTCCATGAAAGTTGGTGACTGGATGTTCATGTTTTCGTGTGTGGTATGATATATTGATGCGTGTAAATATGTTCGCTCTCTCCGCCTTGCTCTGCATCACTTTATTTGGTAGTTTGTACTTTCATGCCATAAAATGTTTCACCTCCTGGGTTCGGCTCGGATTCAAGTGCCTATTGGATTGGACCAACTGGTAGAGGTTGATTACGTGAATCAATGGATCTGGTGTTGTCGCTGAATTCCGTTGCATTGTTTACTGTAGGATTGAAAAAGGTGTAGACTTGTCTGCTAAAACATTTGAGAGGTTTGAGATTGCATCGAGAGCTTGTAGTGGTGCTTAACATGAGTGGCGGCAGAGAACCCTGGTGGGGGCCTTCTAAATGCCACAAATAGGTCAATAACTATCCACTTGGAGAACTCCCAATCAGTTTTGTACCAATCTCACATACTTTGGCTAATCCGTAGATTTTGTTTGTTTTGAAACGATGAGCGTGAGTAGCATTAGTCATGTTTGGACAAACCACCCACCACTTCGCCTATCGCGGATGAAATTGCTATGCGGGATTTTCGTCTACAGCTAAACGAAAATCGCGCCTTAAACGCGTCCATTCAGTAAATCTTGCTATAGCACAGTGGCAAATCAGTTGATAAACTTCCAAAGCATTGACAAATCTGATCGTACGAAGACTGGATTGGGGCGTGGTGAGAAGTACTCCCTTCACCTCAACCTTCGTGCCTCTCCAACATCATTCGGTCAAGCCCTAATCACTTTTCACTGACATTTATGGTAGTCACTGGTCCATAGACAAAGCAGGAATGGAAGGAGGAAAGGTGAGAGCTTGGATCTTCAAGAGGTTAAACATGTGGAATTGTCAAGGCTTTCTTGCATGAAAGAGGTTTTCGCTAACAGCGGCTCTTACTTCTCCAGACAAATTGTTTTAATTATAGCTCCGAAATTTAATGCTAGCATTTTTTGCTGCAAACCACATAAACTCACTAATTTCTCGTTTATGTTCGACTTAGGTTTCACAGAATTTGTTTTTAAATTCGCTTCATGAAATCCTTTGCAAACTACGATTTTGAGAGTTAAAATTGTACGAGATCTGTTTCTCATTTCTTTGGTAGTTTTCTGTTTTAATCCAGTCAACAATGATATGTAAAATGTTGAAAACGAAAGTAAGTATTTATCATTGAAGCACTCACAGCTAGTTCTTTGTTCTGGTACTCCCTCCTTGAAGTAAATGGAAAAATAAAGAAGCGCTTGACACTTTATTAGGCACATCTGAATGTCCGTTTTGAGGGATAGTACCTACACAATTGATTCGTCGGTGTTATCTTTCCATGGCTGCTTCCAGTGTATTGACTCTCAACAAATCCACTATCTCTGGTTTCTGTTGACGGTTCCCAATTCGGTAGAATCATCTTTGACCCACAGCGCCAGCACTTTATCATCGAAATTGTCTCTGGGGTACTGGCGTTTCGATAGCTCTTGCAAACCCTGGTGATACTGCGCCTCGTATTCACATTCCAGTCCGTCGTCATGGCAAATAGTCGATGTAAACAATCACAGAAGGTTGTTAGCTGTTTTTCTGTGTCGAAATTGATGAACCAGTAGCCACTCTTCTCCTTCCGATTTGCATCGATACACAATGCGACAAATTTGGATCCATGATCAAACATGTAGTAACTCACTATATCTTTGGTGAAGATGTGCACTTCTTCGTGTGGCCATCGTTTTTCCACCAGTCGCACAGATTTCGCATCCATCTCCACGAAACATCGTGATGCAGGACGATCCATAGCCTCAACAAGTGCGCGATAGACCAAGTAATAGCAGGTCTTGTCAGTCACTTCGGCCTGTGCAAAACCATAGTCAAAACCACTTTCAATTCGAGAACGTCCGAAGGAGATCCATGGAATGGTGAAGTTGGAAGGTCTTGAATAGACGCGTGCTTCACCGAGCATGCTGTGAGCTCGTGTGGTGCTCAATTACTTTGTGCTTGTGCGTGTGCACACTCATGATTTGTGTGAATTGCCAACTCGTGGTCGATGGGATTTTCTGCATAAGCCGATGGTTTCCTCTTACAATAAATGCCTGCGTACATGTGAAGTGAAAGGTGTTTGAGAAACGGTCTTTGTGTGAGAGTTCGTTACAAAATTTCCGCTATGTTGCTCCATTTAAGTAGGAAGGGAAAAATGCCTTAACCCACTTTGCTGAGGGTAGAGGGTTGAGTGACTGGTCATTAACATTTCATTTCAGCTTCAACTCAAAATTATTTATGTTTACATTAAAGCAGGCATGGCGAAGAGGACGGTCAGGTGACTTGAAAATTTGTGCAGTTCAGTGACCTGTTTTGACCTGTAGAGACTTGTAAGCACATCTTCGGGTTCACTTACGTCTCTCAGGAAGAGCAGGCAGGCTTCATCGAGTCAAGGTGATGCCATTCATCTCAGCATTTATTATTCTACTAAATCCAACAATTTAGATTAATTCATGCTCAGCTTCTCGGGTGCGACTGTTTTTCCATCATTCTTAAGTAGGGGTTGGGGTAAGTAGGATGTGTTATAGCGTGCATTCCTCCTATAAATCAGTGTTAAATTGTGATTTAGATAATGAATCACCAGTAGGACTGGAGGTCGTCTTTTTCCTAACCTTGTCACCTCCTGAACAACACCATGAAGGGCTTTCGGCTAAAAGTTTGAATTTTACTACATTGATATTCCAATTTTCTACAAGCTGTTTAAACGTTCGGATTCCACGAAACTTGATTTGACACATCTGGAATGTTCCCAGCTCATATAGACAGTAAGTGTTTGGTTAAAAAAGAACAGCTCAGATAACATTATCTGATTAAGTTATCATTTCTAAATGCATAAAGCAGAAAATGTGTGTTTAATTGATAACGTTTGGCTACTGAACAGACAGTAAAATTTGGTTGTCAAATGATTTCAATCCTGATCACATCAGCAAACTTTGAGCATTGTCTAAGAACAGATAGAAGTGTTCTGGGACATGAAAGTCTGGACACCGCTATGGCCTGGCAAATGGACCGCCCGAGGAAGGGACAATGGAAGAGTTCCGAAGTAATCGCTAGCAAAGCTGAGACTGAGCACGCAAGAAATGTGTTACTCATTCACCAACTTTTCTTCTGTCGTCTTCAGTAGCTCTGTTATTCAATTACACGCGTCAACCATGACAAGTAGTCGCACCGTCATGATCTCTATTGGCAATTCCATTAAATTTGGCGTTCTCTCCCCCGTGGGAAGTGTGGTGAGGGCAAGAGAATTCGTTGACCACCACGCATATCCATCGCCTGATATGTGAAAACTAGCTTATAAACCAGGTTTCTGTGCGACAGTTTCAGGTCCATTCCTCTTATTTCCCTTTTACATCATTTTACTGGTAACCAGCCATTTTGCACCGGTTTCCAACCAAGTAGGAGATAGGTGGTGGAAGCATTAAATGTTCGCTTAATTGACAGCTCTATAATGAAGATGTCCGGATTGTTCAGGGGTGGCACAACTTTATTTGTTATTATCTTCCTGTCTATCACTGAACCCGAATAGTTGCTATGGTGGGCTCTCATTCGCAGGCCCTCTGCCAAGGTCTTTGCTGTTCTCCCGTCGGTATCAAGTGCGCCTCTTTCCTTCTCTAACAATTGAGACAAAGTTAGAGCATTACAGAATCTCAAACCATCTCGTGTATCCATAATCAGAGGTCGGAACGCTTATCTAAACAAGTTTGGGAGTGAAAGTATAAGGCTTTGTTTAGGAGACTATCTGAAGTTTAGCGTTCACAGTAAGATTTGTCTAGCTCTTGTACACGTGGGCTGGCTTTCGGGACGTGCTCAGGCTCATTTGCTCTGTTTTTTTCGGAATACATGTATCCAGCCTCACTTACTGCCTTCTTCCATCCTATGGGAGGTCTCGGGATGCTACAGAGAGTACGAGAGTTGAAAGCCCCGTGTTGCTGAGATTTCGCAAAGTTCGCATTGTCGACGCTACCATCCGAAATAATACCCTACCAGATTATTGTAAGGGATGTGCGGCTACATTGCTAATGACTTGTCTGCAGACCACCTGAATGAAGTAGGTGCTGAAGATAGATGCCATCCTCAGCCATTTTAAGCATAGGCCCTTCATTCGTACCGTTACAATTTGTTAAAATGGTGGAAACTCGGGCAGGAGCCATTCTGAAATTGAGTTCAGCTCCCACTACCACCGTTGCAGCTCTCCAGGAGTAGGAGAGCGTCTGATAATTAAGCAGAGTGGCATACCTCCAGCAAGTTGTAGACGGGGTTAGGAATGTTAGCAGAGGCTGGAGGTCGGCCTATCCAGTCCAGGCAAGATGACAACCTAAGGTTCTATAATAGGAGGCAGTAGTTAAACTAACAAATTGCAACACGATAAATGCTGTCAAACACCATTATTTGGATTATGTAAGGATTCTTCGAATTGATATCATCTACTGAGGAGCGCATGATGTGCTGTAAAGATGTAATGCATTGCTCATTCAAAAGAGCACTAAACATTAATGGGATAAGTAGGAAACTTTTCACATGTTATAGGCTGCCATTAAATTATTCTTTTACTTTTATATGGGCCTTTAGTCTTTTAACAAGTTCCGAAAATTTGGAATATTCTAAAATAAATTTGTTTTACTATTTAAAATGGCAGGCAAACCATTGATAAATTATTACAGTCGCACTTTAAAAAGTTGGTAAAATTGGTGTGACAACTGTGGCGTATTTAGACTTTCATTGAGTGAGGGAAGGCATTAAGCATGGCTGAAGGGGAGAAATTAAGATTTGGTCAGATCCAAAGACCGGATCACATGGCAGAACCTAATTAGCGACAAAAATGGCTAGCACCAATGCAGGTAGTCGATTATAAATGTATTAAATTGACCATCAGCACACCTCTTCCGCCAGCAATCACAACGTATTCGGAGCTGCTAGGAAACGTCTATGAGGTATTTGCGCCACTCATCAGCTCAAATGAAACAAGGTAAATGCACTTGATCATTCCAGCGCCTTCAACTGGATCTGAATTTACTATCTATCTGAATGCGGAAATCAGGGGAGGAAACTTCTGTGGAACATTAATTGGGTCCAGCATCGGAAATTAGAACATCGATCTAGAACAGAATGTGTGGGACGGAAAACGGAATCGGACACAGGAAAAGGAGGTTCAGCGCAATGTCAACGACGGTGTCGCTTCAATTGTTACTAGCTTGGCTGTTTAAAACATGGATGGGTACAGCAGACGTTGTTCTCAGTCCCCCTGCTGTGGAGAGGTGAGAGACCTCTTTCCCAGGATCTGTAATTCAATCACATCGTATAAATTTTTCCTAAACGATGGAGGTCAGGACCGAAGTGGTATCGAAGTCGGATTCGCTTACTGCTGCCTTCATTGCAGAGCCTTGAGACCACTTCGTCGTGCCAGAAGGAATTGAACATGGTCAAAAGGTAGAAGCAATGATATGGCCTGACCCAAAGGTCAGTCCATGAGGCAAAAGCAGGCAATCAAATAAACAAAGTAGTACAACAGCTATTTTTAATTAAAAACCGCATCGAAAGTCGTTCTATCAAATCATCAGAGCATAAAATTGGACGTAATGCACTGAGGATCCCTAATTATTCTATCTATGTAAAAGCAAGATTGTTTTGACAATACGGACTAGAAAATGATTGGACACGGCGGGTTTGGATGTGTCATACGTTTTTGCTTTGTCTTTCTATGTTAAATTAAAGCAAGCATCGGTATACTGGATGGTCTCTGAGTTATCTTCAAACCTGTCACTCGAGTTTATACAGTCTTCACTTGAGACTAAACAACGTTACTGTGACTATTTATTTGATCACTAGTGTAACCAGCGGTCACTTTCGGGCCACGTCAAAGCACTTTCCCTTCCCTTAGCCTTCGATGCATGTATTCAGCCCTACTTAATTCTTCTTTTGCCAATTGGTAAGTATCGTGATACTGCAGCCACCACAATGAACTTGTCCGACGCAAGAAGTTCAGACTCCCACTGTTAACCACAAATTCTGATTTGGTTTCAGTTTTGTAGTAAAAAAAATTAGGTAGTTAGGTCCCCTTTGTTCAAAAATTTAGAATGCTAATATTGTCTGGCATAGCCTACATGACTGCCAGTCACTTTGGTATTCATCTTGCTTTAGGCTGCGTGGCCTGGCCTTCGGGGCGAGCCAAAGACTTGCCTTTTCCTACTTAATGCCTTCACTACTTAGCGGAAGTCTCGCTACGCAAGGACACATTTATATGAATTGTGAAGGGTGTTTGAGAGGAGCGCATCCAAATCATATGTGCGTCGGTTAGGGGCTTTCTGACTGGTTGGGTTAGCTCAGCACCTATTTTGGAGGAAGTAGGCACGAAACCGAGGACTGTCGAATTGCATGGCTCCTTTGTCGTGAGCTAATTCAAAAGGAATCGAAGTTGATCTTCCGCTTCCCACCGTAATGGCTACAAAACTGTTCACTGTTCATCACTTTGCGTAGGAGGGACCAGAACCTCCATACCCATCTTTAAGTCCCAACATAGAATCCACCAACTAAATTCAAACGCAGACCACCCGAAACGCATCTGTAAGGAGCGCCCTTTTGGAGGAGCTAATGAAAAATTGGAGTAAAATTTTCTCTCCAAGGTATTTATGTTGGGATTCTCGCACCTCTTCTTCCACTCGGATTACGCAAAAACGAAACTTACATATTAACTATGGAAGTGGCATAAAGTGGTACGAAGCCTTCCAGCTCCATCATTTCAGACGCATCATTTCTAGTCCTTGAACTTCTTTAGCAATTCGTATGGGTAACGGCGGGCGCAGCTACCCAGAGGCGGACTTAACATAAGGATAAGCAAAATTACCACAAACTGCGTACAACGATAATATAATTGCTACAAAAAGTGTGGTAGTAGCTAAATTTGTTGAAAGATTCACTGCACAAACCCACAATCTCTTTTCACAAAGACAGCCGAATGTAGGCCCAAGTTTTGCAGATTGCCTCCATTCAAAAGACTTGCTTTAGGCATATCACTTTATAAAAGCCTTATTTCTGTGGAAAAACCAAACTTATACTTCAAGAATTTCATTGACTTAGTGCAGTCTAAGGTGTACAGCACAAAGTTAAGCACAAACGTAAGAACATGGCTTCTATGGCTCTGTTGACACGCGAACTCTTGCATTGATATGCAATTTGGCTTTAGGACATAAACATAACTAAAGTTTTTTCCATTTTTAAGACGCATGTGGTCATAAGAAGTGAGCTGAATAATTGGAATTGCAAATTATGATTGTCACTTCTGGAAATTACCCCGCCAAGAAGTGGTCCGCGCAGCAATTGGGGCGTTCCGCATATCGTCCACCTCACGCCTTACGGTTTATGCACAGGAAAAGTGAACTATCGTGTTGCAATGGTGAATACCACCAACTCATGGAGTTTGACTTGCAGCATTCTCGACGAAAAGCATTCCGCTAACGTTTTTTTTGCTGACAATTCGCACCTAACGATGTCGCATTGTGAACAACTATGTCCCTCAAATAATATCATCGTTGATTTTCAGAAAGCAAGATGCTGCAGTCATGACTTTATTCAAGAAATTTTGCATCTAATTTTTTAATGCTGTTGTTCAACAATGCATTCAACGAACCTCAGTTCCTCTACGCAGGTAGTAGGCCTCAGTTCTTGAATTGATTGAAACCTGCACGGATTATATACTCGCAAATTATTTGGTAAAAAACTGTGACACAGAGAGCTTCATGAAGTCTCTGTTCCTCTCTACAACACGCATTTGATGTTTATGTACTCCTGATGACGCTCTCATGACCTGCATCATGTCGGGTGATCAGAGCAGTAAAAAATCAGTCTACCTAATTATTTTAAATAATCTCTTCAGCGTCGACAATTATTGTTCCACTTTTGTATGTCCTCTTGACAGTGGCAATGCATTGCCTTCTATCCGACGCTTTTTTTTGATAGCTCTGCAATGCCGGATGTCACAGTGGCTTTTTACTTGTTTGAGACATTTCGCCGAATAAATGGCTCTAAACCCGAAGCGCACGTAACCTTACGAAACAGTTCACCGCACTTATGGGTTGCATCGCCGTGCGAGGCCGCAGTGGTCAGAGACCGTAAAAACGATCACGCCTTAGTTGAAAAAACATGTAGGGAATGCAGAATAAGAAGAAAGGCACCGTGACCAATCCCTTTCCATTCACTTCCATCTTTATTAAGTGGCCGTCTGCTGTGAAATGAGGTAGGAATCCGAGTTGTAGCTTGCAAGGCAAGGAATCAAATCAAAAACCATGAAATGGATGGTGGAATAAAAGTTTGTAAATATTAATGGTATTGCACGCTCAATTACTTAAGGTTATTGCAGAAGTCACTTACTATTACCCAACGGTAACCAAAACGATGTGAAAGAATTAGTGGCTTCCGAAGATTGATAATATCAGTGCACGGTGAATCTGGTCTAAAGTTATTAAATTAGCTTTACTACTTTTCCCACCACTTAAACATCTTTCCAAGTGTTTTGCACCATCCCACCCTGAGATTTAAGCGCTATGCACGGTGTGCCTCTGCGGGAAGGCACAGGACGAAGCTGTGTATCTTAAATACCATGGCGCTTATTATCAAGCAAACACGTGCCAGGCTTTGAATCAACTTGAAACTTTCGATTTGTTCAATCGGGCACTCAAACCATGAAGCTGCGTTCCGCAAGGCGCTAAATATAACGTAACGTGAGTTGGCATTGGAAAGAGGGTGGAGAGAGGCGTACCTAACACCGGCTACTAAACCGCCTTTTATGGGCTCTTATGCTGTTTTGTCCCCAGTACCAAAGCTTTCATCTTTCCATGGAAGCTTTATAACTGAATTAATTGAGTGCATGAAAATTAGCGTAGAATTTGTCGTCTTTATTTCCCACACATCAATTACTTGGGCCCAGAAAAGTTGATCATTGATGAAGTGCTTACGATCATCCTGTTAAGCGTCTAGTAAATGCAAACTGTATGTTTGTGCTATCCCCTTCAATCATGCATTTCAATATCAAGAAGCCGATTGGTGCCGCCTCTGCGCATACCTTAACACGCACCTACAAGCGTGCGAGTTTTGCTCGTCTCCAATTGGTCGCTTGAACATCAGTCGCGTTTGCGTGAACGCTGGAAGCCCCCTCTACCTACAGACAGACCATATATCCCGCTGATTTGAAGATGGACAGACTCTTCTTTGCCTACTGCCTTCTCTTTCTCATTCTCTTTCTTTCCAATCTCTGGATTACAGAAACATCTGCACCTGTGGCGCGTCTAGAAGTGGCTATTCACCAGTTTGAAAACAATCTGAACTACCGTTTTAGAAGTGATTGTTGTTTGAGGCCTTCAGAAGGATGCGATTCTCAATGCGACCTCAGATTTCGCCTTTGCTTCCGTAAATTTGATGCCGATGAAGTGGAAGAAGAGGAGGACAAAGTTGAAACGATCTGTGAAATTGGATTTATGAACCTCAGTAAGAATGATATAGAAAAGAAGAGTATGAAAGAGAGCTACCTGCGAAAGTCAATTAACATATTGGGTCAATGGCCGGTGAGCTTTTAAAAGTTTATTGCATAAGTAGCTACGAAAACCTTAACCTCATGCTAGTCTTCATTTCCCTTCATAATCTTTCCAGCCTGTTTTGGCTTCGTTATGAGAGGTTTAACAAATAATGTGCATGAAACTGATGTGACCAGTCACGGAGTTTTTTGAACTGCTATCCATTTTTACCGATTTTTTTATCTATACAATTTGTTCTGCTGTCCTGCTCTTGCTGAAGCCGAAAATAAACTTCTCTGCTGGCCCTTACCGAAGCATATGTAGTTCCATGATCCACTAAAATGACCGTAGTAGGGTGGAAGCCCGACTTATTGTTTGTGTACAACAGAGCCTGCCTTCTGGCTACGTCGTCCAGAAAAAAGGGACTGGATTTCCTGATTCGTGAAATATTTCAATAAAATTCAATATAAATTCGTTCAGGGGTACCCTTTGGGCATTCTGATTCCTCGTGTAAATAAAAGCCACTTGAAAAATGATATCAATGATATTTCGAATTTGAGCCACAGGCGAAATGCTACTTTTAGTGACAATAGAGAATTTCTATTAGAGAAGGAGAAATTAGTCCTGAAGCAGCATATTACATAAGTGTAGGAAATTTTCTCCCTCCCTCACTCCTGCTTGCGACTATCTCCGGCACGGAAATTTCGGTCCTGCTGGAATGTCAATAGTTTTGATTGGGAATTGAGGCCTCAGAATGATTGGCTTGAGCCTTGGGAATGTGCTACAAGTAGTGCTCTCCCCTTTCGCCCAAAAAAGTATGCTTAATGAACTAAAAGCGTAACGTTACCACCTTCAACTTTCATGGTGCGGTCCTCGGAACTACTTATGAATTCCCCTAAATTATGTCGAAGGTACACTTTCTTTCTTCCATAAATATGCAAACTATACCTTCGTGCCCGATTGTAAGCTGTTGTGGTGGGTGGGAATTGGATAAGCACAAAGTTGTGCAATGAAAACTAGAGTTTGTGGTAGATCTTGAGTCGAGTCCCGTTGTGAGGGGGTCGGACTGCATATTTATGCAATGGTCAGAGTTCGCTTGTTGTGACAACTCTTATGCATACTTTAGGACATCGGCAGGTGTCTCTGTGCCATGTACACTGCCATTTACGACTGCCTTGTTTGCCTCGAAGATACCGGAAAGGACTCTCATTTTGTAGCCTGTATCCATTATGGGTAATTTTTAGTCCTTTCCACAGGGAGAGCATGTCCAGGTTTAAATCCTAAGCTTCAGACCATGCTTTCCCAGTAAAAATACAGTATGATTTGATTCTTCTTTCCACGTGTCAAGAAGGTCTTGCGTCTTTTGCTAAAAGCTCACTTCGCCTTTGTTGTTTTGAGCCAAGAGCCTGAGTGATGTACGCAAACTTTGATCACGTTGTGAATTTGCAACCGGCTCACGTTCACTTGCGGTTTTGTATTTCAATGCTTGGAGTCGGCTTCTGACGTAGGTGATGACGTGTGTCATTCTTTCCTCACACTTTGGACGAGTTCATCGACCACACCTACATCACTTGCATCCATATCAGCCGAAACGGTTGGCGTTAGCTTCCTTCCAAACTATTCTTCTAACGGTCTTCTGTTGAATGCGATATTGTAGAGTAAGAAACAATCCCGATCTTGTTGCTAAATTTTGAGAAACCTTGCAAGTTTGCTATTGACTTGGTTGTTTCCTCATTAAGGAGGAAGTTGGATTCCTTAAATATGAACAAGTGACAGTGAACCACTCGGGAATAGGCAGGATTAAAGGGAAAGATCCCGCAGGATTGGGCCAGCCACTGGGTTTTCGGAAGGGCGATGCCAGGCATTACTCATTCCGACTTCTTGCTGCATACTCAACCTGTTGGTGTTTGAGCTGTAAAGCTTTCCAATCAGGATGGGCCTCGTCGTCGAACTGAATGGGTATTCGTCGGGTGATCGTGTCATCAAGCGTGCCATGAATGTTTTGAAGGTTTTCAGTGTATCTCCCAAATAATTTCAAGGTTTTTGGTAACAATGAAAAAAAATTTTTTGCTGATTTGTGAAGGAGAGAACTTGAGTTTTGCAGCATTAGCCACTGCCGAAGGTGACAATAATTCTTTCAGAAGTAGGCTGTGGAATGGGAGGGCTTTGTGTCTTAGGTAGAAGCAACCAAATTCATCTCTTGCAATCCTGAGCCACTTCTCGAGGTTCACATCCTTTGTGAAGGAGAAGAGAGCCACCCATACTTCCACCAGTATAGCTATATCTTCGTTCGCCTCCTCTTACCTGCGACAATCCTTTGTCCAAGAAGGACGAGCCTTCAAACACGTGAGTGTCAACTGCAAATTGCAGGATAGTCCTTTTTAGCGTCAGAAGGATAGTGCAAGTGATTCGTATCGTGTTCCAGTTTCTCATCCAAAAGACACATGTAGTGCCCGTATTTAAATAAAGTAAGGGCTCCGATTTTTCGTTTGGATAAATATAGAATGCCGTAATCTGAGATCAATCCCTCCTCCTAGAGACTTTACGTTTCTTCATTAGCCACTTCTCAGTAGGATCCACAATACGAGCTTTTGTGACACCCTCTTACATACTTTAATTTTGCTGTTGATTGAGGTAATCCGGTTTAAAGTTTACTCTAGTGCGATTTGCACTTCGCTATTACCAATGCGGCTTACGTTGTTGTGCTCAAAGCAAAAAAAATAAAGCATGTTAATACAAGAGGACCGAGATGCGCCTTAACTACTTTAGCATTATGCCATTTAGGCCTCTGAACGCCGTCCGTCCCCAACGCGCACCGGTCTGCCACCGTGACTCCCTGCCAGGCATAATCACCTCCAAAGTACAAATAAATAGCACATTTAAATATGCAGTGCTTTCTGAAACGCCCACGTTAATGCCGTTTGCATTGTCACAAAGGGATTCTCATTGGTGCAAACTTCAATTCCAAATAGTAATGGAGAATCCTGTCTATAAGCCTTCTCTCGCCCTTTATGACATCGAGGTTACGTCTATGGCACAGGCGCATTAGCCACCGCCTCCTCGGTACTATTAGTCATCTTGCGATGTGGCAGCTTCTTAAGGGGCAAATATACATAATAAGTGGATGGGAGAATGCTCTGTGTTTGGACAGCTGTTGCCGAGCCCTTCTCATCCCCCCACTTCTGCCGATGATCATATTAGTGGTGATGGCGATGGGAGACCGCCAGCTGTTGGAGCAAAATGATGCTGATGATAGCCACGAACTACGTTTATTCCCAGCTCAACAGATGGTTTTGCCTATTTAATCAATTTCACGCATAAATTTAGACCTCTATTTCGCCTTTAGACGTTAATAAATTACAGGCATTTCTTGAGAATTGATGATAACATGATTAGCTCAAGTTCGAGAGCTCTTTTTGCGCCTCCCCTACTGAAAGATTAGGCTTTTATTTAAAATGCAAAGATTTAACCTTTTAACTTTGCCTTATCATAATCCTTCCATGGCTATGAATCACAAGACGGCCAAATGAGTGACCAAAATGTTCATGAGCCTTCCAAACCAATGACATCTCATGCATTGTTAGGCATTGTGGAATGCCTCCGATTGTTGTGTACGTAAAAGGCAATGCAAGTCTGCTGGTTCTGTGCCTTTTGGGAACCAAACAATTGAAATGCCGACTTGTTCATTTGATTTTGACATAAGTCGAACATGGACAAGCCAAAATTCCTTCAAAGCAGCCAAGGCGATGGGGAGTGAACAACCACCTTAAAGGAAGTTCTTGTGATGCCTAATAATAGATGGCAGCTAATTTCGTGCCCAAAAGAGGTCTGTAATATGTTATGTAATGGCAAATGTCACCTTTGATTACGCTACGATAAATAGCTTTAGCATAAAATGAGGAGTTTTCTATAAAAAATTGTCAAATGGATTTTATCCTTCCCCGAACCGGAATAGATTGGCAAAATCCATCGCTTGGCTGTGATTGCAGGAACCGTGACGAGTGTCATCGCTGCTCTAATTTGCTTATTCTATTGTGCTACTGCTATGCTAAAACCAAATCCTTGCAGTTTCAGGAAGCAGAACATAAGATTTTACGGCCAAACCCCTTTAAAGACTCACTTCGTCATTGAACTCACAATTGTGTGAGCCATGATAAAGTGCTTTTGCTAACAATCGTTAACGCATTGAATCCAGCTAGTCCACTTGAAAGCTTCCGGTCTGCATGTAGACGGCGGAAGGTAAGTAAAGTCCACCGCCACAACTAATGCAGCATTCAAAGAATTTCGTAGGCTCTGTCACGCATTTGGAGCGG